TGATTCTTCCAGAAATCTATAATAATCTCCTTTGTTTTTTCCACATTTAAGACCAAGCTGTTTTTCTTACACCACTCCACTAAGCCCTTCACCTCCTCCTTATAAGCCCACACATTGTCATCCCCAATAAGACCCACCACCGTTGTATCACCTGCATATGCTTCGGCAAAAGAACTCCGACTAGCAGGGTCCAGAAGACAGGCCTTCTCTGCTGTAGCCCCTGCCCTTTGGAACATCTTGCCCCCGGAGGTGAGACAGGCCCCCTCACTCCCGGCCTTTCGGAGGGACTTTAAGACCTGGCTCTGCCACCTCGCCTGGGGTGGGGAGGGAGGTCATCAGATATGGGGTTGGCTAGCCCCCTAGAGGCCTGATGTTGCTTCCATCAGCCTCCTGGATTTTTCCTTTTCCTTTTCTTCTTTGTAAATGTGTCTTCTTATAAATTTTAACTGTATATTTATTTATTGTTTTAATATGTTATAAGGCTCCCAGAGTCCCCCATTGGGGGGAGATGGGCAGGGACAAGTTTAATAAATAAATAAAATAAATAAATAAATATTTCACAATGGAATTGGTGGTGAACCCGGAACAACAGTCTTGGGTCATCAGGGTGAACAACAATGGGCTCAGGATAATAATATCTATCTCTCATCCTCATATGGTGCAGCAAGCATTTTTTCTTATCCATAGCCTCTTTCACTTCATCATTCCCCTAAATATACCTCTGTACTTCCCACATTAGCATAATTCCATACTCTCTTCGGACACTCTAGTTCTTTTCACTCCAGTCCAAGCAGATTTCACATCCTCTTTTCTTACATTCACTTTTCATTCATTCTATTGGCAGATTAATCTATTTTTAGATATTTTTGAAAAAGTCATAGATTACTTACTTTGTCTTCCTGCAGCCATTTAACTTGCATTGTAGCTTCATTCACATTTTTCTTCCATGTCCATTTTTTTGATAAAATCCACTCCTAACACTACCAAACAGTGGCGTGTCCCATATTCAGAATGTCCCATCTTTATCACCCCTGAATCCTTTCCTAATTCTCTCAGTCTTTCATCATAAACAATCAAAGCAATCATGCTTTTTAGATTTATATTCCTTTCCTTGCCACCTGTTTGTAAGCATGACATACACGTAAGCCACATAT